CTTGAGCCACAGGCGCCGAGCCTACAAGTTCTTCTTGTGACCTCCTCAACTGTTATTCCAGTGACAGACCTGAAACATCTTCTGTTGGAATATACTTCATATTCTTATCCACAAATAAGTCCTTATATAACGTAGAATCAATTTCTTTTAGACAGTTTTTGAAGATGTTGGCTGCAGCATTTCCTTTCACTAAAATGCTATCAATCAGTTCTCTTGCTTGTAAAGGTATCTGTGTTTTTGTTTGTTTGTTTTTTGTTTGTTTGTTCCTGTTTATTAATTACATTTGCCTTTAAAAGATTATCCAGGATAGGAAGCACACACGTCAACCGCTGAAAGAGAGCCATTCTATTCTTCCGAATTAATGGCAAGTCATCTGATGCCATTTCTTCAGCTTGTCTTTCCTTGTCCTCTTCTCTTTTTTCATCTTCAGCCTTAAGAAGAGCTGATACAATATCATTGACTGTTTTGTAGTTCTCTCCAGTAGTTAGGATTTTGCTCTGAACTGTTTGTCTTACCAGGCTTCTACTAAAGCCCATTTCCAAGGCAGATTTCACCACAGGTGTATTCATCATGACTGCATCTTCTGAAGCACTTTCTCCAGATCCAAAATGAACAATTGGTGGATCAGCATTTTCATCTCCAGGAGTATCTGAAGTTGACAATAGCTGTTCAAGAAGATGAGGATATCGACCTTGAATCTCATCAACAAACCCTTGCCCTTTCATGTGTATCAAGAACTCACACCTTGGAAACCACTTGGCATGTTGTACCCATGGATCATCTCCAAATTCCCAACACCTCAAGCCACCATCACAACAAAAGCATTTGACATCATCATTGCGACCCACATAATAAAAACCAGCACTTGCAAGCTGCTCAGGCTGAACTGGAACACTAGATGGCCAATACATAAATGTGCTCATTCAAGCTGCATATGTCTGCATGCTCAGATTTGAAATGCTAAACCTCAGAGTTTCTAGAGAATTTTCCAAAAATGGACAGTTGGGAAAATATCTCCAATGTTTTGACATAGCATCATCCTTTGGTTCCCAGTTACTTAGCTTCCCACCACAAGCAAGGCCAGGATTTATTAAGAGATTTATTTAACCAAAAACACAGGAGAAAAATCGTTTTTTAAAATCAAATAACTGTAGGGGAATTATAATCTGAGAAATTGATTATCAGAATTTGATACAATGCTCATTTAAATTTGGGTTGATAAACCTCTTAACTATACAAACAACCTTATGGAAAATGCTTACAACAGTGTTTAGGTTCTTTTTATTACTATTTTAAGGTATATAACTTTTAGTTATTTTGTTCACTCTCTAATCATCTGTTAAATGTGATGATTTTTTTCTTTTTATTTTATTCACATTTTTTTTTTTTTTTTTTGAGACAGAGCCTCAAGCTCTTCCCCTGGGTAGAGTGCCGTGGCATTACAGCTCACAGCAACCTCCAACTCCTGGGCTC